CACACAGCATCATCAACTAATCAGGGTTAACCACTCTGCATCATCAACCAATCTGCATCACGAACCAATCAGGGTCAACCGCTCTATGAAATTAACCAATCAGGGCCAACTACACTGCAACATTAACCAATCAGGTCAACCACTCTGCACCCCTAACCAATCAGGTTAACCACTCTGCATCCCTAACCAACCAGGTCAACCACTCTGCATCCCTAACCAATCCGGTCAACCACTCTGCATCCCTAACCAGTCCGAACAACCACTCTGCATCCCTAACCATTCAGGTCAACCACTCTGCATCCCTAACCAACCAGGTCAACCACTCTGCATCCCTAACCAATCAGGTTAACCACTATGCATCCCTAACCAACCAGGTCAACCACTCTGCATCCCTAACCAACCAGGTCAACCACTCTGCATCCCTAACCAACCAGGTCAACCACTCTGCATCCCTAACCAATCAGGTTAACCACTCAACCACTCTGCATGCATCAACCCTAACCAACCAGGTCAACCACTCTGCATCCCTAACCAACCAGGTCAACCACTCTGCATCCCTAACCAACCAGGTCAACCACTCTGCATCCCTAACCAATCAGGTCAACCACTCTGCATCCCTAACCAACCAGGTCAACCACTCTGCATCCCTAACCAACCAGGTCAACCACTCTGCATCCCTAACCAATCAGGTCAACCACTCTGCATCCCTAACCAATCAGGTCAACCACTCTGCATCCCTAACCAATCAGGTCAACCACTCTGTAACCACCAGGTCAACCACTCTGCATCCCTAACCAACCAGGTCAACCACTCTGCATCCCTAACCAACCAGGTCAACCACTCTGCATCCCTAACCAACCAGGTCAACCACTCTGCATCCCTAACCAACCAGGTCAACCACTCTGCATCCCTAACCAACCAGGTCAACCACTCTGCATCCCTAACCAACCAGGTCAACCACTCTGCATCCCTAACCAACCAGGTCAACCACTCTGCATCCCTAACCAACCAGGTCAACCACTCTGCATCCCTAACCAACCAGGTCAACCACTCTGGATCCCTAACCAACCAGGTCAACCACTCTGCATCCCTAACCAACCAGGTTAACCACTCTGCATCATCAACCAGCCAGCACTAGTCCACTCAAGGGCACCTGCTATCTATACACAAACCCAGAAACACTGATCAATGACAAGATGAAGCTCATATATCACTTGTAAGCATTCCACTTTGCAAGCTGATCAGTTTCTGTAACTTGAATGTTTTGAAACACTGACTTAGTCCACATAATGCTAAAACCACAACCAGGCTATTTTAGAAACTAGAACATAAGAAAAGTCTCATAGCAAATGGTCATTTAGTATTTGGGCCAGTTGTACACAAAAAAAACCCCAACAACTTCAAGTTTGCATGTCAATGCTATTCAAGAATTATACAGCAGGGGTTTGCTGTATAATTCTGGAAAAGAAAGGAAAGTAGAAAGTGTCATTTGTAAGATGTATACACCATATAAGCTGATGAGATATTCACAGAACTCTATTGTCTAGCTGTTCACTCGAACAGGCTCAGGGAATCATGACAGTAATTTAACGGGCCAAACAAGAACAGTTGAATGAAAGACTGAGATCATCTTCCTCTTTGCACACACAACTAATGTTACCCCGATAAAGTTCTGCCACAAGTCCTTTATGTAGTAGACCGGCTCTATGGCCTAGTGGATAAACAGGCTGCCCTGAGTGTAGGCCCTGTGGGTTCAATCCCCGGTTGTGTCAAACCAAAAGATGATAAAAGATGGCACTTGTTGTTACCACATTGCTTGGTATCACTACCACTAAAAACTGGACTGCTTGGGAGTCAGTACTATAATAGTATCACATTCACGCCAAAAGTATGTCATAACTCCGGGGGTCAAGAAATGAAGATTAGTCCTAAGTAACGCACACATCTATATAAATAACACAATTTGGAACATTACAGCAATTAAAAAGCTCATCAAAACAAATATATTCTAAATTCCAAATGTTTTGAAATGAATGTCAAATTGACATCACCTGTGAGACATTTAATTGGATGACTGAGCTATGTAAGGGAACAAATAATATTCCAGTTGTTACATCCCGGACAGACGGATGTTATTTCAATTATAACATGGCATGCCAGATTAATGTAGTGTGAGATACAAACCAACCAGCCAGCCATTTGTTGGAGTGAATGAGTGTAATGTCTTTCAGTGGCATTTAGAAGTTGTACATTGATGTCCAAGATATTTTTATGGATTAAACCTCCCTCACGACGTTTTTTATCAAGATATTTTTATGGATTAAACTTCTTTTAAATTTCCCTCACGACGTTTCGAGACCATTCCAGGTCCCTTCATCAGGTGATGAAGGGAATAAGGGACCTGATGAAGGGACCTGGAATGGTCTCAAAACGTTGTGATGGAAATTAAAAAGAAGTTTAATCCATAAAAATATCTTGGACATGAATGTGTGTAGTTTTACGCCACACTCAGCAATATCCATTTGTTGGAACATTTCAACAAACATCAAGTGAGTGAGCTGGTTAATGTCACATGGAACGGTACTTTCTGTTTGTTTTATGTTCGGGGAAAGCCCAAAGTGATGCCATCAACTGCAGGTATAAGAGCCAACAAACCAACAGTCATTATCAGGGATCAGGGATTAAAAACCATAGCATAAGGAACGGAATCAATTTCAAGTTGGCAAGGAACATACTGGAAAACTATTGTCCATATATAGTTAAGTGAAAAGTATTTATCATGATTTGTTGATAAGAAAGTTAGCTGTACGAAACTGTAAAACAAAAAACAAACTATAACATCATGGTATCTGCTTCAAAGAACAATGATGATCACCAATGGAAAAACATCGATAGTCATCATTGTATGTAATCTAAGTATGCTGCCATTATTACATCACAAAAAACAACAACTAAAACATCATCAGAAGTCCTCTTCATTGTCAGCTATACATACTTGTACCCTTAATCCGAAGTTGACTTTTAGTGTGATTACAGATTCAGGGTTTATGGCAATAAAAAGATAGTGGCATCAGACATTCTGTAAGAATTATATAAGTTTCAAGTGATTCCATGGCATTTGATAGGCTTCCAAGCAATTTGTGTTTTCCATAAATGAAGAAAAAATATATCTGACTGGCTGATAACAGAATGGACAAACCTTGTGTTGTATTATTTAGATGAAAGATGTCACTGATTTCATACCATTGTCCAATGCGGTTTTGCATAAATGATGAAATATACAATCTGTGAAGTTATTATAAACACATTTTTTAGAAGTAACTCTAATATATTCTTTCACTTCATAGTTAGAAATATAAAAACTGGTGTGCACTCTTTGCAACTATCTTTTATGCTGGTATACACAGAAAACACATTGATTTTTACAATCATACTTCCATAAATACAAACAAATATTGACCTGAATTCTTCAGCAACCATCATATGTACACCTCGGTTTATGAGCAAGATGGTAATGGTAAATTATTGCTCCTGTCTTGGGATGTCAGACAGACGTTTCGTATGATACGTATCTGGAAGTATATCCGATCGAACGATCTGTCAAAGCAGTCTTGTTCATTCATCAACACTTTAGCAAACATTGCCACAAATTATGCTATGAAGGTAGCACTGAGGGCAAAGCCTCCACAACCAAATTAAGTCACAATAATCAGGTTTCGGTATCAGGCCAAATATTATCTAGTGGCTTCACTTCGCTGTGCTGAATCTTTACATCAAATCAAGTGCTTGGATTAGCATACGTCCTTGACCTAGAGATCACAAGTACTATCAGACCGATCTATCCTTATCATAGGAACATAAATAGAACTTGACTGTATAATTTCTGCTTTCAAATTATTAGTAGTAGCAAAATTGTATGATTCCATTCATCTTCAAATCAAATTTGATATTGTGTACATCTTGAAGAAGTTACGACTTGAGCTCATATCCCTGCAAAGAGTTCTGCACTGTAGCATCTTTCAAGAAGTTTCTTCATTAAACATGAAAAATTAAAAATAACAAACAATGAGATCATGTTGTTGTCTTGGTCATGTTGCACCATTTGTCTGACCCATAGAGGGTATCCCTCACAACCATGTTCTTGACCACACAATTAGACCCATGCATGGAGAACATATATATCCTGTTTGGCAACAACCAATTGTGACCATGTTCTTGACCACACAATGAGACCCATGCATGGAGAACATATATATCCTGTTTGGTAACAACCAATTCTAACCATGTTCTTGACCACACAATGAGACCCATGCATGGAGAACATATATATCCTGTTTGGTAACAACCAATTCTAACCATGTTCTTGACCACACAATTAGACCCATGCATGGAGAACATATATATCCTGTTTGGTAACAACCAATTCTAACCATGTTCTTGACCACACAATGAGACCCATGCATGGAGAACATATATATCCTGTTTGGTAACAACCAATTGTGACCATGTTCCCGACCACACAATGAAACCCATGCATGGAGAACATATATATCCTGTTTGGTAACAACCAATTCTAACCATGTTCTTGACCACACAATTAGACCCATGCATGGAGAACATATATATCCTGTTTGGTAACAACCAATTGTGACCATGTTCTTGACCACACAATGAGACCCATGCATGGAGAACATATATATCCTGTTTGGTAACAACCAATTCTAACCATGTTCTTGACCACACAATTAGACCCATGCATGGAGAACATATATATCCTGTATGGTAACAACCAATTCTAACCATGTTCTTGACCACACAATTAGACCCATGCATGGAGAACATATATATCCTGTTTGGTAACAACCAATTCTAACCATGTTCTTGACCACACAATTAGACCCATCAATTAGACCTATGCATTAAGATTGAGTAAGACATTTTTTTTTCAACATGACATCGGTAACATATATATATCGTGTGTGATAACAAGTTGTACTCACTATTCGAAGACCATATACAGCATGCCTTCGGAGCTGTACGTCTCCAGAAGCTCCACGATGTGGGGATGCTTCAGCATATGACAGATACTGGCCTCTCGCTTCAAATCTGCAACAAAGCAACCAACATTAGCTGGACATTATTTCACCTGAACTTCCTCTCCCTTCGTGTCATCATTTCATCATGATGATTTATACACTTGAATATTCCTTTCCATCCGTTTCATTAAACATTGGTACGCAGTTGAGCTAGATAATTTGGAAATTGAATTTTAATAGGGCAAAACCCTCGGCAGTGGCGTCAGACTTTCACACAAGGATAACCTTTAATCATTTTGCCCACAGGGTAAAAAAAAGTTATTTATACAAACCTGGAAAACATTTGTGAAACCAGAGTTTTTTTTAAAGAAGGAATGTTGAGTATTTGACGTAAATACCCAACAAATGTAAAATGTACATGAACATTATGCAGGGATGCAATTCAACACTGCTGTACCGTCAGTAAGGGACTATGGTTTTACATCACTTTCAGCAATATTCCAGTGGTATCACAGCAGCGGGGAATCTAGACTAAGGCTTAGTCTCTGAATATATATAAATTTGATAGTAACAAACAAGCCCATTTATATTGAAAAGGAGCCCTAGGGAGACCAGAGATTCTAGACTTGCTTTATTTAGGGCTTTAGCACTGCAGAGAGGGCTTGTCAGTAAGGAAATTAATGTGGTTCAGGGACTGTGAGACAGACTACTGGGAATCCAGAAATGGGCTTTACTCATAATACCCATGTGAGGAATCGATCTCGGCTGTTTGGAATGACAAGCAAACACTTTACCCACTAGGCTCCTCTACCACTATTGCACCACATTTGTGAGGGGAGTCAGTGATGGAGATGGGTGTGACGCTGTGCCAGCTGGATCTTAAGGGAATTTCTGAAGGGAAGCAGGTCTCCGACCTTAACTAAACCTAAGCTAAGTTACTTAATCAACGGGGGCGGTGGGGTAGCCTAATGGTTAAAGCGTTGGCTCGTCACGCCAAAGACCCGGGTTCGAATCCCCACATGGGTACAATGTGTGAAGCCCATTTCTGGTGTCCCCCACCGGGATGTTGCTGGAATATTGCTAAAAGCGGCGTAAAACCAAACTCAGTCAGTCAGTACTTATTCAACATTCCAGCAATATACAGTAACGGACACTAGAAACAGACATCTCACACTGTCTCCATGCTGGGAATAAAACCCAACACATCAGTGTGATGAGCAAATGCTTTAACCACAAGGCTAAACTACCACAATTGGCACTAATCACAACTTTAGACAAAGACTAGCCTCAACCAGCTATACAATATCTGAGTCCTATGACTGGATTCAAAACATGCATATTTTGATAACGTCAGATGCCTTATCTACACAACCATTCGAGTTCATCCTTGTAAGGTAAGTTTTGCAGGTGTTTTGTTGTATAACGCACTCAGAAATATTCCAGCTGTATGATGCAGATCTGTAAATAATTGAGTCTGGACGAGGCAATCTTGTGATCAACAGCATGAGCATCGATCTGCACAATTGGGATACAAAGACACCTAGTCAACCAAGCCAGCGAGTCTGACCACCCGATCCCGTTAGTTGCCTCTTACGACCAACATGGCTTACTAAAGACCAATTCTGACAGGCCCAGGTACATTACAGGGTAAGGATCACAACTGTGGGATGACTCCATACCACAAATGCATTATTAAACTCTTCAATAAATATTTACTGAAACAGGTCAATGACCTACTGATGGGTAAGACAGGGTCATGTTCCAAAGAGCGATCTATGAGCTACACATATGTTAAAGTATTGGTGATACAACCATGCTAGCTCTAAAATCGCTCTAAGGAACATGGCCCATATTGAAGTAAAGAGCCAACAAAGTTTTTGGATCTAAGGGTATGTGAGAGAGTTGAAATTCACAACTTTATTTCAACCATACAGCAATGAGACCAACTTCATATTTCAGATCTAAGCAGAAAGTCTGGCAGTAGTCAGAGACTAATTCCCCTGACACCCAACCATAGTTCTCTGTCCACTTCCAACATGGACAATGGAGACCAAATCCCGTCACCATAACGATTGGACCTGTTGCTGACCACAGATGGACAACAACTAACTTGGCATACAGCTCGGGCCAATCTGTAGTCAAATCAAGTGTGATTCAAGTCATTAAACATGCAAATACTTGTCGACAAAGTTGCATTTAGTGATGTACATCAGTCTACGATTTGATGCTGATTCTAATTGATACAAGACAACGTCTCATATCTATCACTACATTCATTACAAGTCCGGACTGACACCGGAACAGGGCACCAGACTGTGAGCACTTCCTCTTCAATGTAAGGTTAAATGGGGCTAATGAAGCATGCACGATAACTGCCCTTCTATTTCAACTTTACGATTGGTTGATCATATGAAATGAACATTAAATATTAATAGATATAGTCACCACAATCAATTATGGAGACTTACAATCATTACAATCGATTTATTCTGGATTAAAATCATTGATACATGAGATGAAATTGGGTTTATCCATGCGTACAAGATTATTGCACTATAATACAAGTGAGCATGCATTAAAACACTATGTCAATATATCCACTTTTGTCATCTTTTAAATTACAAGCTCTGAACAATCTTAATTATTGCATAATGATGACCTAATGTTCAATTATCTACAGATTTTATGAATGGTCGATCACTAACGTAAAATAATTAAAGACATGCTTCTCAAGAATCAATAATGGACACTTACACTCATTACAATCAATTCTGAATTATTATCAAATATCTAAATCCCCAAATCATTGGGAGTCTCCTTACAAATAATTTTGAGAATGTTTTCTTTGAAAGGGGGTTGGGGATGTATTTGTAAATGAAAATTTTGTTCAGAGATATGCCCAAACATGGAAATTTCGATCCAAGTTGCAACAGAATAGATGGTTTGATGGTGCTAAGTATATATAGAGTTTGTTGAACACAATCAGGGAAACAAAATCTTCCCCCAGACAAATGAAATGGCAGCTACCTAAGTTATTTTCACCTCACAATAGAATCATCCCAAGGCTCGCCACACAAAAGGATCTTCAAAAAGATTATCTAGATCAGAGATGAAAGATCAAGATTCTTGTTGAAAGTACCTTGACCAACTTATTTCGCATATGATTACATTAGCGAGCGAGTGAGTTGAGTTTTACGCCGCACTCAGCAATATTCCAGCTATATGGCGGCAGTCTGTAAATAATCGAGTCTGGACCAGACAATCCAGTGATCAACAGCACGAGCATCAATCTGCGTAACAGGGGAACCGATGACATGTGTCCACTAAGTCAGTGAGCCTGACCACCCGATCCCGTTAGTCGCCTCTTACGACAAGCGTGGGTTACAGAAGGTTCATTCTAACCCGGACCTTCACGGGTTGATTACATTAGACTGCTAAGGTATCTAAACCAGCAGTTTAGTGACTTTCAACAGATCCGGAACTGACCATTAACAAAGCCCTGAATGAGTAAGTGAGCTTAGTTTTACGTTGCTTTTAGTAATATTCCAGCAATATCACAGAAATGGGCTTCACACATTATACCCATTGGGGGAGTCAAACCCGGGTCTTCAGCACGACGAGCAAACACTTTCACCACCAGGCCTACCAACAGTTCCGACAAGGCCCTGAAGAATATGTGAGTGGATGTATGCACTTGAATGCTCTGTGCACTAGACCACTGATACAGCAATTTCTGCAAGGTGAGTTTAAGACCTTGACCACGTGACCTTGACCTACATAACCAGCCATTCACATGACTCGGCTAGGTATGATCACTAAACAAGACGAGTAGTCTGGACAAGCAGCACCATCATGAACATATTCACAGTAACTGTTTTTACCTCTTGAGGTTATTTTGGCCCAATATGATCAGGAAAAGATTCCCTAAAGTAATACTTTTCCAAGAACATGATAAAGCACTCATGGCATCCCCAGCTACTGCTAAGTGCCTACACTGCCAAGTGCTGCAGTAATGCTTTCCTTGATGAGAGTATGGTCTTCAACACATTGAGCAATATTCCAGCAGTAACATGGCAAGGGAAACCAGACTGGGCTCACACAATGTACTCATGTGGGAAAGAGAACCCAGATTTTCTGCATTACAGGCAAACACACCAACCACTAGACTACCCCAAAATCGCATCCGTGAAGTTTACACTAATAACTCAACAATCCCTGAGTAAGAATCTGTGTTGCTGACAATGCAGTTATTTTAAGTTGCAATCAATAATATTCTCGAATTAATGTGATGACCTGTTAACTATCGAGTCTAGACCTGGCCAACCAGAGACTGGTTTCACAGAGATGCCAACCCTTATTTAACCCAATTAGTTAATATTTTGGCCAAAAACTGATGCAAAAATTAGTATTTTAGGGCCAAAATTAGTATAAACTTTTCCAGAGAATTTTCATATTAAAAGAAAATAGAGAGATAGTCTAAGAACTTGTTATTAACATTGTACTCACCTAAATCAGTAGTAAGTATCCAAATATAGCTTGATGCTGAATAAAATGTGGTTGAAATACATTGTGTATGGTACATATGCTATTTGATAATTTAATTTAATGTATTTAAAAATCGTATATTTTTACTGCTATCATAGTCACGTATTTTGTGTTGCTTTTTCGTAACGAATACGATAAAATCGTATGGGTTGGCATCTCTGGTTTCAGGTTAAAATGACACAAGTGAAGTCTGATGATCCATATTGACCTTCTGCTACAATGTACACACAGATAATTCAGAACCAGAATACCAAAATTCATAAACATAAAATCACCTGGGCCTAGATTTTTGAAGCTCTCTTGACGCTAAGATAGTCGTAAGTTAATGTTAATGTATGGCACTTACGACTATCTCAGCGTTAAGAGAGCTTCGAAAATCTAGGCCCTGGATTTTACCCATGAATGCATGTTTCATTTCACTAAATGAATCTGTTAGCACGATGTGACCAGCTAAACAGAGGCATCTGGCTAAACAGACCTGGAAAACCAGTGGTTGATAGTATGAAGTTTTCACAGAGTAAAACA